CTGCAGAAAAGCCGCCACCGCAAGCCCGTGGAGCTGGCATTCTGACCCCCAGAAAATCTACAGGACACAGGAGGATGGCCCCTCTCCACGGCTGTCACCTGCACTTTTTTCTCCCCTGGATGACTTGGAATCAGTGACCTTGTTGATATGCCATGCCAAGGGTTTGATCCACGGCACCACCAGGGCTCCTTGTAACAGTCCAGCCCAAGTCAATAACAACGTGAATGAAGACTTGGGATTTCATTTTGATAAGCTCAACAAAGACCCGATCTCTTTGAAGGAGTGAGTGAATGAGTGTGTGTGTGTGTGTGTGTGTGTGTGTGTGTGTGTGTGTGTGTCAGGGGTGGAGGGGGTGGGGAGACTGGATTTCATAGAGGAATGTGGGGTGCAGTAGGAATTCAGAGAGTGAATGCCATATCCTTGCAGCTTGGCCTGTGCCCTGCTTGGCTCAGGACTCGATGCCCTAGGGTTGAGGTGGGAAGGTCTTGGGCCTTGAGGCAGGTATCAGAATCAGAGCTCTTCTTGAAGGTCCCACACACCAGTGAGGGAGGTGGTCCTACCTACATTGGAGGAGGGTTACCCTGGTGGCTTTGAGAAGAGAATGGCCCGAGGGAAGAAGAGTACCGCCCGGCTGGGAGAGGCTGAAGTCACAGTGGCCAGAGTGCCCTGGTTTTGCCTCCGCTCTCTTGATTGTACAATGGACCGTCTTTTGTCTTTAGTCCTCAGTGTGATGGATGGTTGCTTGTTCCCGCCCTCAGACCCACGTGTCAGTCTAGACTCCAGTGGGCCCTGCCCCTGGCCCTGCCTCCTCCTAAGAGGGTTTCTTCAGGGAGTCAGGGGCCCAGCTGGCTCCAGCTGGGACATACCCAGTGAGCACAGAACCTGGCCCCTCCTTCCTGTGACCCCCCCTCACTCTCCTGCCCCAGCCCCAGTCCCACTCCTACTCCCAAACCACCCACCCCCACCCCCGTGCCAGGGGGAGCCAGGCCCAGGCTGCCTGGAATCCCAAACTCCCCCGCCAGGCTCCAAATGAACAAGGAGGAGGAGGGAATGCCCCCACTCCCATCCACTGCCAGGGAGCCCAGAGAGCGCTGACCAAAGCGCCGATGCACTGCACGCTCGGGTGTGCACACACCTGTTACATGTACACAGGCAGGCCTGTTACACGCATGCTCACGGAGCCCAGGGTCCTGGCAGGTACCCAGAGGCCCCTTGTCAGACACAAAACACTCCTCCCTGGAAGCAGACCCAAAGACCCATGTGAACCACGCTCACTCGGCCCCTGGCACACATCCTGCCACAAGGCACTCAAAGAACAAGAAAAACTAGAGGCAGTGTCTCTTCACCACAACCTCTGTCCTGGCACCTAGCCCCCTGCTCCATAGCTCGGGTTCTGTGGAGAAGGGGGCGGGGGCAGGGGGGGGGGGCCTCAAACTGCCTTCACACCCTGGGGTAGAACTGTCTGATTTCCAGGGCATCTACACTAGACCTACCCTCCCTATCCAACCCATTCCCCTCCCTAACTTCAGGCCTGGAGGGAAAGAGCTTCAGGGTGCTTTGCCTTGGGGTACTGACAGCACGGGGGGCGTGGCTACACTCTGGAGGAGGGAACGAATGATGTCAAGCCCATCACTTTCCACATAACGTTCTGGAGGCACCTGGGATCCCTGGGGCACATCTACGATACAACCTGAACAAGAAAACGAGTGTCTCTATGCTAGAGCTTTGGGAGTCGCCCAGAGGAGAGGGTCTACACCGCTATCTGGCCCCTACAGTGGTTCACGCTCAAGGACTATCGGATGAGCCAAGAGGTGTCACTAGCTGGACACCGGTAGGAGTGAGTGAGTGAGGGCTAGAGAGGCTGCGAGGGTCTCAGGTGTTCCCCCTTAAAGCCAAATCGGGCGTTTCTGCATGCTAGCTCCACCAGAAATATCTGTGGGCTGTCCCCCGTCCCAACCCCGTCCCAGAGCTCCACTCCGCACCTTCCTTCCTTCCCGCTTCGGTCTCACTGCCGTCGAGTCAACGCTGACGCTGACAGTAACTGTTTCCGGGAGTAGCAAGCCCACCAGGGCTCCGTGAACTCTGCACAAGGTACTGGAATCCTATTTGTCAAGTGCCTTCCATGAACCAGGAGCCCTGGGGTGTGGGGTTACTCACTCTATGGGCTGCGATCCCCATGGTCGGCAGTCAGAAACCACCAGCAGCTCCGAGGGAGAAAGGCTGGGCTTTCTACTCCCATAAACAGTCTCAGAAACCCCCAGGCAGACAATGGTGTGTACCCTCGAGCTGCCGGGATGCCTGGGGGTGTCTTGTACTCTGGTCACGAAAGAGCTCCTCCTGGAGCTGCAGGGGCCATTACCTGTGTAGCCAAGGGAGCAGTGGCACTCGTAGCGATCTGCCAGGTTGTGGCAGGTGGCCCCGTGGTGGCATGGCCGGGATGCACACTCATTGATGTCCAGCTCGCAGCGTGGGCCCTGGAAGCCTGGCACACAGTAGCAGCGGAAGCCGGTGGGGTCTGGACCCTGGGGCATGCACAGAGCGCCGTGCTGACATGGCAGGGTGGCACAGCCTCGGAGCTCTGTGGGCCCACAAGTGTAGTTGCCACTCTCCGTAGCCTGGCACTCTGTCCCTGGAGCACACGGGGCTGAGGCACAAGCACTTGGGATTTCTGAAGGTGGCGTCCCTGTAGAAAGAGGACACTGGCTGGGGCCGGGTGGGGGTGAGGGGAGTCGAATGCTAGGACACCCCCCACACACACACACTTGCAGGCCCATTTGCAGAGACAAGAGCTAGAAGCAGCCACAGCAGGATTGGACTCAGGTGTGTGGACTGAGATGGACAGGCAGGTCCCAGGGTCTGGGCACATCTAGTCCAGATGGGCAAAGGTTTCAGGGAGATCCCAGAATTAAGTGCCTGGGTGGTATGAGCCATGCGCATACTCAGTGGCTTAAACTAAAAGTTGGAGGCCGAAGACACCCCTGAGGAAAGGCCTGACATTCTGCAGAAAAGCCGCCACCGCAAGCCCGTGGAGCTGCAGTTCTGCCGACACACACGGGGTCAGGGGGATGGAGCTTGACGGCAGCTGGCACCTCCCAGAGAGAGGTGGGACCAGGGAAGCCCACTTCTCCAGGAAGAATTAACCCTGGGAGCTCGCCCCTCCACTCCCATCACACCCCTCCAGCAACTCTGAACCCCCCTGTTATACAGGACAGCTCTGAGGCCCAGCGAGCAGCCTCTGACTTGAGATCACATGGCAAGTTAGTGGCTGGGACAGACAGCAAAGCCTGTCCCAGGAAGGGGGCTCCTCCTGGGGTCACCTCCTGCAGAGCGGGGGTCCCTGGACTCTGGAGGCCCAGAGGGGAGGGAAGGCTCTGCCCATTTCCCCTCGTCTCTGTGGCTGGGGGTCTGGTAACTCTATCCCTTCTGAAACTGGAGATGTCCCCCCCAGCCCTCCCCAACCTCAGGAGGGTGGGTAGAGGACATCAAAGGTTCTCAGCCCCACTGACTCCCACCCTCCTCTCCCCGCCACACCCACTGCCCAGTTGCTGGCCCTGGCCTGGGAGGTTCTCAGTCAGGATCCTACTCTTTCAGTTCGCCTTGCTCCCAGATGCCTGAGGTGGCCCACCCAGCCCGAGGGCAGCGTAGCTAACAGACCTGCTGCACCCACGCCTGCCTGCAGCCTGGTGGCTCCTCCATCACTCAGGACTCTGTCCTCTGACTGGGCGTGGGGGGTGTCACTGATGTAGGAGGGGGTGTGGCCGGAGGTGTGTGCTGCGTTAGAAGCTGAGAAAGCCAGCCTCCCACCCTGCCTCCTTTCCCAAGGGCCCAGTCAATGTCATGGTGGGTCAGAACTAGGATTTTGAACCCTGGGTTCAAATCGCAGCTCGGGGTGAGATTTGGGCAAGTCATTTCTCCTGTGGGCGCCTCCATCTCCCCTTCTCAAAGGAAGGATTCACAGCCTCGTGTACCACAAGCAAGTGCCTGCCAGTGCTTTGTCTGAACTCGCCCTTAATGGGGAGAGGGAGGGCTGTGAGTGGTAGACACCCACCCCCCACCTGGAGCTCCCAGAAGCGCCCTTCCCCCCACCCAGGTTGTCATCCAGACACTAAGCAGGCCCTGAACCCTCCCCTCCCCCAGTCTAAGGGTGAAGACCCCCAGATAAGGCTCTGCAGCCTCTCAGGCGTCATCCACATTCCACCAGGCACCAGTACACTGGCCTGACCCCTGCCCTTTCTAGCCAGCATGAGGGACAGTGTTAGAGACACCAACCGAAGGCCCCAAGGAGAAAACCGGTGGTCTAGTCTGGCTCCACTCAGACCCTCGGTGCCCAGAGCACCGGGTACAGCTCAACATGGTCTCATTCTTCTGGTTGCAGATTGGGTGCTCCTAGTGCCCACCCAGGGCCAGGCCTGGGATGGAATGGGGCATGGGGGTGGGGGGAGAGGATGGCCTCTGAGGCACTGTCAGACGAAGGAGGCGCCTAGGCGCCTGGGTTTCACAGACTGCCTCTTCTCACAGTTCCCATCCCCCTCCCAGGCTCAAGTGGGTGAGGCCAGGGGCACCTGGACTGGTCAGGGGCTGTAGGCAGCTTCTCTTTCTCTTTCCCACCTGGCCACCTTGGCTGAGCAGCTCAGGGCCTGGCCATCAGGGCTATAGGTGCTCAGGGGCCAGAATGGGCCGCAGCTGTGGTCTGTGGGGATGGCTGTGTTGTGAGGGGCGGAGGGGTGGGGGGGGTCTGTGTTGTGAGGAGTCACTGAGATTGTGGTGAGAGGCCCCGGTACCCCAGGAGCCCTCCATGAGGGGTACCCTATCCATTGCTACTGTTACAGTGCTTGGCATCAGGCTCAACCCCCAGCCAGAGTCCCCAGGACCCGGCCGTCCAACGGCTGTGGAGCAGGGAGGCAGCCACCAGCACTCCCATCTCCAGGGCCCTGGCTGCTGAACTCTGTACCAACAGTTACTCATTTGGCCACGACAGGATACCACCCACCCCTTATCTGGGCAGCCTGGGCCCCTGCTCCAGCCTAGAGGTCTGTCCCTCCCATCCAGACACCCCCCTCCCCCAAGACACACACACACACACACACACACACACACACGATTAGAGGAGACAGGTCTGCACTGGGGAGACCGAACCTGAGGGAAGAGTGTGAGGAGCAGGGGGAGGTATTTCATTACCATCTGCCCACCCAGGACTGTGGGAGCAGAGGGTCTATCACCTTAAGTGACAAAGCCCAGGAGACAGGGTCCAGCTGCACAGGAAGAAGGCACTTTGCAACTCAGAGGCAGGCCTGCAGAGAGCGAGCTGCCCGTCCAAAGAGGTATGCAACAGCACTTAGAAGCCTGAACTCCAGGGATCTTTCTGGTGCCACCTTGGTGAATCTTCGGCTCAGCCTCATGAAGTATGAATAGTACGAGGACTATTTTGCACATTTGACCAAAGTGTGGCTTGGAGATGAAGGGACTTCAGAGTCCCATGGCTACCAGGGAGCTGGCGTCCGAATCCAGAGCCTCTACTTCTGGCTTGCCAGAACCTTCTGGGTTTGGATTAGGACTACAGATTCCTGGACACTCAGAGCCATTGGGAATCTGCAGTGAACAGGCTTCTGGGGAGATTCTTTCCCGCTGAGGTGTGGGAGCCCCTGATCTCCAGTTCTCGCTCACTCTTCCAGAAGCGAGCAGAGGAGGCCGGGCTGGAGAGGAGGAAAGGTGAAGAGAGGTGGGGTGTGGAAGGCAGCAGGGGAGAGGAGGGAGTGGGGGGGAGGCGGAGGTGGGGGTGGGGGGGTCCAGAGCAGGGGTGGGGCCTGTTACCAGGGCGACAAGGGGCCTGTGCTTATCTTTACAAATCCCTCCTGACCTCCTGGGCTGCCTGGCCGACCTGGCAGGGGAGGGATTAATGGACAGCTGCCCCTCCCCTTCGACCTGCTGCCCTGCCCCAGGGAGGGCAGACACGGATTATAATAACATAACAAGACCCATTTACGGAGTGCACACCACGTGCTGAGGGGGCTAGGCTGCACACCTTGCGCCGATGATCCAGCTGTTGCAACACATAGCACTCGTACGAACCACAGAAAGAAACACAGTCCAGCCCATTGTTACTGCCACCGTGTTCATCCCCTGTGTGGGGGCCTCCCTCTTTCCCACTGCCCCTCTGCTTTACTAAGCATGATGCCCTTCTCCAGCTTCCTCCTGATGACATATTCAGAGTCCATGCTCCCAAGGAGCATTCTGACCGTGCTCCTTCCCAGACAGATTTCTCCTTCTTCTCGCTTTCAATATTCTTCATCAACGTCATAATTCAGAGCCATCAATTCTTCTGTAGTCTTGCTGGATTCGTTGTCCTGCTTACACCTGTACATGCGGTGATTGAAACAATTACCTGCACAGGTGAACGATGACTTGGGGCAGGTGCACCTTAATCCTTTAAGGGACATCTTGGCCCTTTAGCATTTTAAAGTGGTCTTTTGCAGCAGATCGGTCAGATGCAATCCATCGTTTGATTTACTGACCAAGCTGCCCAAGGCATTGATCTCCGGTCCAAGTATAGGTGATTATATTATATTTCATTCAAACCCAGAGAGGTGCATGCCATTACAAAAAGTGTCCATTCTTTTAACTTGGGGAGATTGATCAATTTTCCCAGATCACCCCTCAAACTAACAAAAACTTAAGAATCAGATGTTCCCAGACTCCTGAAAAGTTTGTATTCCTTAAGGTATGCACAACGAACTCCCACCTTGTAAATTCTAAAATGCCCCCCGCTACCCCTCCCACTCCCCAACACACACACACACATACTCTCACATAGGCATTAGGGAGAGCTTCTAAAGATTTTCACAAGAGCCCAAACCAACTGTCATTGTATCACTTCCTATGATTCTGAGGCTGTACATCTTTATGGGAGCAGAGAGCCTCATCATTTTCCTGAGGAGCTGGTGGTGGGTTTGAACCCTCGATCTTGCAGTTAGCAGTCCAATGCTTATCCAACAGCACCACCAGGGCACCACAAACGCAGAGGGCCCAGTATCAGCCTGAACAAAGAAAGCCACCATCCTGTCTTGCCAGAACAGAGCTGTCGGCAACCCCGCAAGCTTCCCCAGGCAGCCAGTCACTCTCTTCACCGGCGTGTGAAACAGACAGGTCTGGCCACCACTGATCAGCAATGCTTCATCGAGAGCGGGTTTGGGGAAGAGTCTTAGCTTGACAAGGCACACTCACTGTCATACAGTCCATTCTGACTCGTAGTGGCCCTAAAGGACAGAGGAGGAGAACTGCTCCTCTGGGTTTTTGAGGTGAGAAATCTGTCCAGGAGCAGCAAACCTCATCTTTCTCCCAAGGAGCGGATGGTGGATTTGAAAGGCTAACCTTGCAGTTAGCAGCCCAATGTGTAATCCGCTAATCCTAAGAAGCCAATTGAAGACATAAGAAGTGGGAACTGCTAGCATTAAGAGAAAAGAAAAAAGCTCAACTACTGTCACTCAGGCTGACTAACAGTCCAATCCAATATCATGGTGGTTTCCACGCCCTG